AAGATGGCAATGTCCCAACATTTTTTTTTTTTTTATTGTGGCAATCCCCAATTTTCCATTCTAGCTCTAATATATCAAAGTTTTACTGTGTCAAGAAGAAGATTTTCTGCATGCACACGTGCACCTTAAACAATATACACTACCTGGGGGGAAAAAAAGTCCCCACTTGGATTTCACTAAGCAAACAGGTAAGAGCCTTCCACTGGATAATTACTGCAGTGAATAATATGTTTCAGCTGGCAACAGGTTATTTAACCCCAACTGATGCACTCAATAGCTTATTTCTTAAAGCACCATGTAGGAAGACACATCCCGTGTTCGTGGAAAAGATGTTATTCCACGTCTGAAGAGTTAGTCATTGGTGGCCCGCATCAAGTGATGAAAAAAAAAAAACCTAAGAAAATCTACTGAAACAAATAAAACTGAGTTAATAATGCTGTCCATTAAACCTGGAAGGACATAGTGGTGAATAATAGTCATCTCTGAGAAATAAATGCAGTCAGAAACTGGAGGTTCATTAAACACTTGGTGAAATAAAATCATTGAAATCAGCAATAAAACTCTTGATTGTGTTTAACAGTGAAATTAAGAACATTTCCACGCTCACAGTGTAAAAAGAATTCGAGGGATTGTGACTAAACAGCTGTGTAGCCTTAAGAAAACCACTTATCAGTGAGGCTAATCAAAATTAAAGGCTTTAGTTTGCTTGGGGAGCATAAACGCTGGACTCTGGAGCAATGGTAAAGAAAACACTGTTTGGTCTGAATCCAGATTTGCCCTGGTCCAGACCAATGGATGCCTCTGGGTAAGAAGAGAAGGGGATAAAGTGGCGTTCCCATCACACCTCGTGGCTACCGTACAAGCCAGTAGGGGCAGTCTTATGATGTGACCTGAAATGAGGTCAGAAAAAAAAGACCAGGTTTTTCCATTTTAAATGGAGTTTTCTTTTGTATTCGCTGCTGGCACAGACATACTCCAGGATGATAATGCCAGGATTAGTTCAACTCAAACAATGAAGAAGTGGTTCAGGGAGCATTTTCACTCATGGGTTTGATACTACAGATACAGGGATGTGCTGGAGAAGCCATTTTTAGCTCCAGTCAGCCCAGTGGACCACTTTATCTAAAGCAAGTCAATATATTAAAGACTTAACTGGTCTTAAGGGTTAATTACAAAAACCCACCCTTTTCCAATTACGTAAGTACACATGTGAAAACTGTTAGAAGTGATACATTTGGCTCATTGTATGATGTCTGAAGCATCGCCCGCGGGGGTATTTCTTTTGGGGAAGAAAAAACAAAAAGAACTTTCTTTGTACAAGAACTCTATGACAAGTTTCATGAGAAATTCGAAGCAACAAAATGTCCACAAACGGAAACAATACAACTTTGTGTGCTTCCTTAGCAGAAAGATACAAAGTGGCCCAAACCAGAAAAAAAGAGAGGCCATCAGAGCCTTACAGGTCCTAAAACTGATGTCATGGTACTCTTAAGAACTAGATTGTAATAGCTGGGGAGTAGCACACATTTTAGCATAGCTGAAAGAATTAAAAAATGTAAGATGATAAATTTGAGTAATGGAGTGCAATCTGCCCCAGGGCACAGGAGATTTGGCTGCTTAAAATAGGCCTCTGAACACTTATGTATAGTAAACAGTCCCCAGATTTCATAAATCATTGTCACTTGTTAGTGTAGATAAACATTAACAATAGATAGTGTAGATGGAGCCGTGTTTCTAAGGGACCCAGCATGTTTAGGCCATTGTCAGCACAATGCTTTTCCAAATCACACGTTATCATTCATTGCAAGTGCGATTGTGTTCCTTTAGTGAAAATGACTGCAGATTCTCTCAGAAATTGCTGTATTCATGTTTCACCAACTCTGTGTGTGTGTCTAATTGAAGTCCCCATGCGACAGCAGTCACACTTGCAGGCAAATTACACAAACACACAAATCTGCATGGTGCTCATTTACCAGATTAATTAATATTCCAGAAAGGTCACACACAAATAACTCAAACACACACACATACCCAGACCCTTCTGAGTACAGCTGACGCCGTTACCCGGCCGGTCTCTTTGAAATGGAACATCATCATGAACTGAAAGCCACATCAAGGGCAATATTCCTGCCAATCGCATTAGTGGCTCTGCTTGGCCGCGCTGTGAGTGGACACTCTCTGAGGATTGTCTGCAGTTCATGACCAAGACAGAGAAAGATGGGGATGTCAACAGACAAACACTGCTGTATTATTAGAGCAGCGGTCATGTGCCACCCTCTGTGTGCTAGCAGACAAACTGTCGGAGACTTAGAGGAGGCTGGAATCCCATCGCGTCTGTCTGGGAAATCTGGGTAAATGCTCTCTAATCCTGTTGATCCTCCACTAAAGCCAACACTTCCTCACCTGCCTGCCTGCCATGGGAGAGTAAGTACAGACCAAAAATAGGAAGGATATGATGATGAGCAGCGCTCTGAAATCACATAATTTATCATTTAATGTGTTTGCTTTCTCAAAGGCATTCAGGTTAAAGTAAAACAAACACTCGAACAGGAATTGCAAGTTTGAATCCACAGCAGTTGGCAGAGGATTTTGGATATGCGTAGGTGTTATTGAAAATGTTTAAAAAGGGTATTTGTGACACATGCTCAGAGAGGGAAAATAATAAAGGGCAGGGCAAGGTATATTGGACAGCAGTTGATGTCACACCCTGTAGTATATTTTTGTTTTGTTTCTTATTTTACTGTAAATGGGACCATATATAAAATGTTCTGCTGTGTGTGAAACTAGTGAGTGAGAAGCAAAAAAACTCGGGTGAATTGTTGGCATTTCCAAACTTTTTTTTATCAACTAAATATTATTATTATTACTTTAGCGATAGCGTTGTGTAAAGGTATTACACTTGTACAGTCCTGCAAAACTAAGTACGTCCCATTATTCAGTAACTTGTAAAAACCACCTTTAGCAGCAATGTTTTCAGGTAATGGTTTTCTATATGATTTCATCAGTTTCTCAGGTCACTGTGGAGGGACTTTAGCCCTCTTTTCTTTACAGTGTACATGAGTTCATCAAGGCTTGCAGACATTTGTTTATATCAGTTTCAATCAGGTTTAGGTGTGGATGGCACCACTGCATCCATCTCATAGGTTTTTCTGTTGTAGATTTGCTGCTGTGCTTGGGATGACACTCTTGTATGTCTCTGTTTGGCCCAAGCTTTAGCTGGAGGGCAGATGGCCTCAATGACTGCAAAACAAGCCCAGATCATCATATGTTGTATATTGTACCCAGACGTCTCTACTTTGGTCTTATCAGTCCAAAGGACACTGTTCCAGAAGTGTCGTGGTTTGTTCAGTTGTAACTTTGCAAACTTGAGCTCTGCCACCAAGAGGTCGTCGCCTGGCAACCCTTCCAAATAATCTGTCTTTTTCTAATTATACTCTCATGAACGTTAACATTTAACACACCGAGGCCTGTAGAATCTGAGATGTAGCTCTTGACCTTTTTTTGGCAGTTTGTTAAGCATTGAATGGTAGGACTATGGGGTGGAATTGTGTTAGCACACACCGGAAAGCTTCAGACCAGCAAACTGACAAAGCTTCTGAAGAGTCCTGCAAAATAATAACTGTTTTCATGTGACTACATATGTTTGTTGACCGAGTGTACAACCATTTAATGAAAACTATTTTAATGTTGCCATTTTCTTTTTTAAGAAGTAATACTTCCAACTTCCATCTTAACAGCAGATCCCTGAGGCAGTTTGTGGTTTATGTCACTGTAATGTTGTGTCAGTTTCCATTTTGTTTCACTTTCTACCTCCTGCTTTAGTGGGACAGTCATTTTGGGCTTCATTCAGTAGAGCCAGACTTCTTTTTCCTCCTCTTTTTGTGAATGGACGATGCTATATAATTACCTGGGTTGAGCTTTCAGTGTGGTCTGCTCCGTCAGCTCCACACCCACTGAACACACACCCACACCCACACACAAAAGGGATACACACTTTTATGCACGCAGCCCACTTTGAGACTAGCCGAGATTGCTAATACACACGCGCGCTCCTGCACACATGCGCACACTTAAATACATGCCTCCCCAGCTGGAAGTGCGCAGCTGCTGCTGTTTACCCTGTCGGGACCAGAAAAACATCCTGTACAGTTCTCCGAGTGAAAACCTCCCCTCACATAATAAACACAAGCCCTCGGCACATTTTGAAGCTCCACTTTGGGTGGTTTCTGTGGCTGTCGAGGCAAAGGTCCCCTCCAGCAGTCTGGCTTGATGGACAGTTTGGTGTGTTAAAGATTGAGTAGATTCCTTTGGGGGATCATCATATGGAAAAAACATTTAGTTAAAAAGAAGCTGAAACTTTTTTTTTTTTGTAGCACATGACACATTATCAGGTTATCTGTTATCGCTGTCTGTGCTTTCTTTTTTATCTCGCCATCAAATGCAAAAAAAGAAGGATACAAGCAAAGGCTGACATCTGGATACCAAATCGGAAAGAATGCTGAGTGTATATGCCGTTCTAACAGAGCTGTGACATTTGCTTTCATCGCTCCATAGACATCTCTCTGGCCCGTACAGTTGTTTAACTTGAAGTTTAACACGAAGCTTAACTTTGAAAGAGGAAGTTTTGACTGCTGTTGTGTCTGGAAGAGCGAAGAAAAGTGGGCGAGGACACTCTGCGCTTTCAAATGACTGCTGGAATGTGGTCGTGTGCGAGCATGTGTGCTTTTGTGTGCCTGTCCCTGTCAGTGTTTATGTAAGTGTGTGTGTATGTGTGTTTATACGTGTCTATCTGCTGCCCTGTGTTTTGCAGTTGACAGTCACTAAAGCATCTAGGCTGGCATGTAAAAGAGATTCCTGTGCAGACAGAAGAATTTGTTTTTGCCGTTTTTGCCTTTGAGCTTAATAGCAGTAGTATCAGGGCAGGGCTGGATGACAAAAGAATATACAAAAGTTGTCCTGTGTGTGCGCCAAGTTTCATCTCTGTTTACTGTCTCTTGTAGCGGTGGCATTTCACAGCCCTCCAGTCACCATCAAGAAGGAACCGCAGAGCCCGGGCTCCGACCCCAGCCAGTCTTGTAGCCACAAACCGAGCTTCAGCTACCCCAGTGGAGAGCAGTGCCTTTATGCCAGGTATTTACTGTAGTGCATGTTTAGTCATGGATGACTTCACCCAAATAAAAACGGTGCATTCAACTTATCTTTATCTCACTATGAAGATAAATTCTTGGTTGAATCTGTCGAACTTTTAATATTTTATCTCTGGGATTTCTTCATCAACAATGCCATCAAACATCAAAAATTACCTTCATGATTATTCAAGACAATCCAGACAAAACAGTCTTGTTTCTTCAATATAGGATAGTTTCAGTCACAGTAAGTTTTTTGTACAACACCTTTAAAAAAAAACAAACAAAAAAAACCAATGGAGATCACAAAAGTAATAATGCAAAAAATAAAACGTCAATTAAAATAAAGAAAATATGATGTCATGTCACGAACTTAAGTGTTTTGAAGCTTGATATACAGGAAATCACTGCAAGCCTCATCCCCCTCGGGCAAACTGTTCAAAAGCTGAAGGGCAAAAGCACCGCCACCACCGTCGCCTCTAAATTTAAGCCTCGGCACGCAACAGCACAAACAAAAGCAGTGTCACCACTACTCGTGCTTTGGTGTTGTTTTTGGCTTATGGTTGACACATTAGAGAGCTGCTCTCGCTTGACGTGCGCTCGACTCGCTGCAGTCTAATCCTGGTAGTAAACCTGAACAACACTGGAATAAGGATACAAGAAGTCAAAACAGGGAGGAAAAGTTTGAAGGTGGTGAAATTTTTCTGCAAACTTTCCAACTGTAGCAACAACTTCTCTGTGATGGTGTCATCTGTATCAGAGAGATCTCTGTGGAGGGGAATCAGCAGGCTGGCACAGACTTGTCCCACGTTGCACAAAATGGGAGACAACACCAAAGTGTGCAGTATACCAGCAGTCATTGCATCACTTTTGTAAACGCTGCCATGCATGATGATGACAATGGCAAGTCTTAAATTGCCTTTATCACATCTCCCAATTTTGTGAACTTGCCCGCTTAACGGGGCCAGTGTGGCTGACCTGGAATCAAAAGTGTGCAACCAAGTCTGCGGCTATAAGCATTTTTTCTGCTAAATGATGGGCAATGAGTAAGCACACCTCAAGCAATGAGTATTTGTGGCAACCGTAACAACTAATTTCTGCTGTATGAAAGTGGGGGAGGAACTCTGAAGTGACACAAAAGGATGATTAATTGCCTCCTCAGATATTTAGACATCCACTCTTACCAAAGACAAAATAAATGCTTATTTTACTTTTTCTCTCAACAAAAGTGTACAATGACGAAGCCCAAGTTGGTCAACCCACATGTAAACTCTTATCACACGTTATTGACTGAATCCCTGCACATGAACTCTTGCTTTGTTTGTTGTATTCATTGAAGAAACAGCTCACCCCTGTTGTGACATGTGTAGTCATGCATGGATGTTTTTTTTGTCATGAGTGTATTCATGTGTTATTTGACTTCACAGTGCCTATGAGCAGAAAAGGGCAGCAGGAGGAGCAAAGAGCTCCTGCCCAGGGACCCCTGTGTCTCCCATGCAGCAGCATTACTCCCCCAAACCTGCCACGGCCGGACGGCCCGATGCTGGTTACATGAACCCAGGTGCCACCTCCCAGCCACTTCCCAGCAACAGTTACCCCATGAACGCCAGGTGACACGGCACTGAAATCTTACCATTGGGAATTCTGGATATTATGTTGATTTCTCCTGACGAATGCATCCTAAACTGCCTTATTTCATTTCCCAGTTCCAGGTTTCAGGGACCTTCAGGAGACCCCATGTGCCCTCAGTTCCCCCAACCAGCGCAGGCCTTTCAGCGCATGCCATCTGCCCCAGCTGGCCACTGCACCACTGGTGGAGGTGGGGGTGGCGGTGGGGGCCAGGGGGCGGTGGGGGTGTTGGCTACCATCGGCAGCACTCTGACCCCTGCATGCCTTACCTGCAGCAAAGCTTTAAGCAAGAATACATGGACCCGCTGTATGAGCGGGCAGCCCATATGGCGGGGCCGGGTCATGTGAGTGGACAGGGACACGGGCATGGACACGGACACAACCATGGCCATGGACCACACCAACACCCACAGTTACACTCGCACCCACATCGGTTCCCACCAGCCCACATGATGGTCAAGCAGGAGCCCACAGATTACACCTATGAACCAGGTGAGCAATAATGACACTCATCTGTCTGAAACGCATCGTTTTAGCTCCTGTCCAAGGACCACCAGTAAAGACAAACCTGCTCTGATTGGTCAGGTGGAATTCCAAAAACAGGACAACACTGTTTAAGCACTTGCTCTGCTAACAAAAACATTTTAGCAACACTAAGACATTCTGACATCTCCAACTTTTCTTCTAAGTGATCCAAGTAATCAACACCCAATTACTGGGTGTTGATTAAAGATGTCAATGTTCAGGACTTAAGCAATGCCGTGGACTAAAAAATGACTTGAAAGTAACAGCTGCTTTAGTCAGATTTGTTCCACTGTTTAACAAATTCAACTGAAAAATATGTAAAAGAAGAGAAAAGCTTTATTTGGGACTTCATCCATCTTGAAATGCAGTGGATGTGACCACAGAGATTAGGCGAGAAGGAAACAGATGGGAAAGTGAGACAGATTGTGCCAGTATGTTACATAGTGATGGAGATAAGGACCGTATAAAAAACCTTCTCTGCAAACAAGGCATTGCAGGCACAATGATAGTGTTTTTTTTGTTGTTGTTTTTTACTGGGAGATTATAACTCTGTTTGGCATGGACACAACTGTGTTTTCTTTTTCTGCGCATGTAAAGGTTTTGCACAAGAGCCAAAAGACACAATTGAAGAGTATGCTAAAATTCTTTTACTCTATTAATTTCCAAGACCTGGGTGGCATGTCCTAATCTTTTTTGTCTTTTGGTCCAGAAAATAGTTCACAACCAGTTAATGGTCATATTAGAGGAAAAAAAGCATTTGAGGGACTCAAAACAGCAAATATAGAGCATTTCTCCTTGTTAGACTGCTTGCGAATCAATGGGTTGAAAACCCTCCCCTGTGTACATTGCTTACTCTAGAACAAAATGTCCAAAAGGCAAACAAACTTCTTCACTGTATCTGCACTCCTACTCAACTCCCTCTTAGCCTCCAAAACTCCTCCTTTCAACCCTCTGACACTTTGCAGTGAAAAGGAAGAGAAAAAAAAGTTTTTTTTCTGCTGTAGCTACACCCCTCCCTCCCTCCTTCCTTCCCTCCCTCCCTCCTTCCTTATCCCGCTCCCTCCCTTCACCGCTCTCTGTGAGAGAGAGGCAGAGGAATTTCATTGAGAAAATGGAGGGCACTGGAAAGACTAGAGTCCCCGGTGGAGTGCTCCAGGGTTTCATGTTGCACCAGCGGCTTCCTTTTTCTGCAGGCAGATGAACTCATAATGGAAAAATGAGCGTGGCCACAGTAACTCGAACCTCTCACTGGCCGGGCTTTGGGAGTGGGTGAGGGGAGGGAGTGGAAGGGTAATGGGGGGAGGTAAGGGGTGGGGTAGCCAGCTCAGGCACTTTAACAACAAGCACTACCAGCATTCGAGTATACAAAGTAGCTCTTCTGTTGGCTTCTCCCTAAATCTAAAATGAGCGAGAAAAGTAACACGTAGCATCCTCGTTCACCTGTATTAAAATGGCTAGAGGGCTGACAGCGGTCCACATGTGCTGAAAACGGCTGAAATCCAAAGAAAACAGAATTTCTGACTGTCTTGACTTGCTGTTTTTACAGTAACAATGACAAGAGTCACACAACCTTGAGAAAGAAATGGGGGAAAGTACCAAAGGATGTTTTTCTGTGGATAACTGCTAGGTGGAGGAGCAAGTTTTATTTGGTGGGGTTTCCTTAAAAGACTCTCTCTGATATGGGTTTTAACCAATCCAGAGGCTGATCTGACATGAAAGATCAAAGTTTATCTTTATTTTTGTAGACGATTATACAACAAGTGACTGGACTGTGTGCAGGATAATAGAAAGTGACAGGGGCCTAAAACTTGGATGTGATTACCAGTAAATTTTCTGCACTCAAGAACATGTACTCTCTCTCTCTGTTACTGAGCAGTGTTTAACATCTGTATTGAAAAGTCAGTCACTGGATCTCAGGTGGTCTAAAACAGCGGTCCCCAACCCTCGGGCCACGGATCGGTACCGGGCCGTGAGAGTTGTTGCTCAGGTGTGAAATTATGGTTTTCAGGTTTTTTGTAGTTAACTAGGTTTCCCTGGGTCTTTTCCCGTGTTGTAGTTGTGTGTCTTATTTTGAAAGGAATATTTACGGGTTACCATAGCGACCATAGAGCGCTAAGGGGCAGAGAGGAGGATGTTACTCTCAATGTTGTTGGCGCACTTCAGGAGGACGCTCCTAATAAAGTTACACAATTACACCGAGAATTCACGTTTATTATTATATTTACAAAATACCACAGTTTGTGTCTTGGTCGTATCATTTTATTTTGTTGTATTTATCCGTGACACCTTAAAAGTCGGTCCGTGAAAATACTGTTTGTCATTAAACCGGTCTGTGGCTCAAAAAAGGTTGGGGACCGCTGGTCTAAAAGAACCTTTTTCTTTTAACACGTCAATAAAAATCCAAAAGCATTCTGCAAACATTTAAATGGAAAATTATGTTTCTTTTAGGCAGCTGAATTGGAGTCTTCACGATAGAAACCGCATCCCAAAAATCTCCTAAGCAATGATTGAGGACAGTTGTTATTGCCTTTTTTTTTTTTTTTAAGTGATCAAGTAGTACATGCTACATACTTGTCGATTGATCTTCTTGAGCTTCTTAATGTGCAGCATACAAAACCCAGCCATGCCAGCCGCAACATCTGCAAGGTTGCATACATACAGGCAGGTCTGAAGACATACTTTCCTTCAGTTATTTGTTATTTTCTGCTGAATTACAGTGTCACTGTAAGAAATTCTATCCCAAAATTTTGATGTCAGAAGCACGTAATGGAAAGCGAGTAATAAAAAACACCACCAGTGTTTTCTTTCACTTTGCACAATGTGAACAATGACAGTCAAATGCCTCAAGTATACAGTCTCATTTTAAAAGCCGGGTAGATAATGAGACTCGTAGTTTCACATACAAATTGGCATTCCATCGCTTAATCACTGCTATTGTGTTGAATCAAAGACGCAGAATGGTCATGCCACGGAGCAGACAATTAACCCCAGTGCTCTCACACCCAGTCTACCCATCAATCCCTGGTGAGAGCCTGCCATCTCTGGCAGACATATTATTTACAGTATGATCGAGCGCCGCTGCTCTGGAATGGAGGTTTGATTTTCCCCAGTGGCATCTTATCACAGTCGCAGAGCTGCAGCTGCATTCCCCAGGAGTGAGTCACGGTCAGAGCCAGAGGCAAAGAGCTGCACCTTTCAGTTTTATACACTTGCTTGGCTCATTGATACAGTTGACAGACTGTAAAAAACAGACAAACAAGCTCTTATAATAGGCAATGAGTCACCTTTTTTTGTATGCTTAGCCAAAGAAAGAGAAAAACACACAGACAAAGGTTAGTGGCTCGGTCACAGGAAATGGAAAACAATATTCTCACATTACATGTGAAATGCACTTCACAACTGTCCCAACTTGCAGAGAATTTTGCCGGAAGGTTTATGAAGAGCAGTGTAAAATCTATATCAGTGATTTGAGCGAGCCAACGATGTGCCCAGACAAAGTGCAGACACTGTATACTGTACCACTGTTCTGGTCTGGTGCAGGTGCTTGCTCATGGCCTAAAAATACCACCAGGGACAAGAGAAGTGATATGATAAATGCAGCATTTGCCCTTGCAGGTCACAATGATCCCACTAAATCCAGCTAATACACCCACTTTTCTCAAACAGGTAGTGCTTAGGAAAGCACATTAGCAGCCATCCTTGCATTTTAATTTGACTTGACACCTTACAGGGATTTCTAAATGGTACTTTATGCCATAATCTAAATGTCGGTTCAATTTGTTAACCTGTAGTTCGTTGTTTCTGTTACAGATGTGCCTGGATGTCCCTCTATTTACCATCACAATGAGGGCTACCCAAACTCCCAGCATGGCAATGAAGGTAATGTGAATGTTTTGCATTCTACTGCAATAATGCCCTTTAAAGGCCTCCAATAAAAGTTATTATGGAGTTAAAGGAATTTAAGTGATGTCAGTATACAGAAATTGCATGTACCCAATCTGCCCTGTCTCAAAAGCTTTATCTACTCTGGTTAGAGGTCTGCGGTCATTGGCTAACCGGCCTAGAGTGTGCGTGCTTCCATTGGCCAACCAGTGGTGTGTCTGTTTCCATTGGCAGAGGCTCTCGCCTCACCCCTGCCTCAAGAAACCCTGAATAAACATAAGTCTTAGAAAAAGCACACTATTTCCCCAGCAAAAAGGAAAACAAGCCCTCCCTTCTTTACCATTGTTTGCAAGACCATTTTCGGCAATTTGAAATCTCATTCAGATGCACTCAGCATATAAGATATCACAGGTCTAGTATACTAAAAGGACATTAATGTTGTGAGTTATTTTGGTTGAAATATATTTAAAGCTTGCCACTGGTTCCAGATGAACAACCTTGTTGTGCCAGGATGAAGTCCATTTGAAATACTGACACAATTCTCCCCCCTCGTCTCTTAGGGTATCTGTTTGAAAATGACTCCCGTGTGGTTCCAGAGAAGTTCGAAGGTGAGCCTGCTTACCACATATCCCCTCTGCATGCACACACACAACTTCAAATGCACAGCACACAGGTGTTACTTAGTGACAACAGGAAGAAAAGAAAATCACAGGAAACACAGTCACTTACTTCAATCTCTTACATGACTGATTCTCTGCCAGAAGTAAAAGTACCCCAAGGGTATCACTACAGTCGCTGTGGGGGGACATGAAAGGATTAACTCAACTATTACAATTTTAGTGAACCTTAACAAGTTTGAGAAGAAAGGTTAATGGTTTATTTAAAAAAAAAAAAAAAAAAAAAGTAAATGGCTAAGCAGAAGAAAAAGAAATGCGTTTAATGATGGTCAAAAAGCAAGAAAGTGGTATACATTTGAAATTTGCTGCAGAAAGTGAATTGCACTTTAGAATCGAAGTGAACAGAGCAGCAATAATTATTATTTACACGTCATTTTAATGTTCACAGTGTACTGACAGTATGGAGTAAAACAACGTCTAGTTTTTCTTACACAGAAGCCAATTTTTCCCATTTTATCTGCATGCTAATTGGTTAATGTGGGGTCATGGTGGTTGCAGAAAATGAAACTGCTGGAAACCGAGGTACATCATAGTACAAAAAAAAAAAAGTTGGGAACTACTGCCTTACTGTCTATCATATTATACACACATCAGAAGGATCCCGGTGTCCTCAGAAACTGAGTTAGTGGGTTTGGTTTCCTTGTACCCTCCAGGCAGGGCTCCTCTGTCACAGAAACAAGCTTTTCCCATGGTGTTGTTGGTTATTGATGCTAAGGGAGATTGAGTGAAGAGCCTGAGGCCGTCAGCACTCGTTGAACCAGTCAAGTGTGCAAGTTCTCTGAGAGACGACAGCAGTAACTTAGCTGTGCATCTCATGTTCCAACACCTGTGTACAACATATCAAGTACCTGGTAAACAACCGAGAACCAAACACCAATCAGTGTCCATTTACCTTACTAAGTAGTAAGCTTGATTTCTTTCTTTTTGCCCTGTACTGCCCCTTACTTTTATCTCTATTTGCCTCTAGTTCAACATGCTCTGGCTTTTTTAGCTGCAAGCTGACATTTATGGGGATTTGGGTTTACGTGAGTATGCAAACATGGGGGGGGGGAAATCAAGATTAGATGACCTACGGATGTACTTGTCCTACTAGAATTAAGCCACTTTTGGGCTGTTAGGGGTCAAATGTTTCTTGTTTGCACAGCAAGAAGTACTTTAGACCATAATTTAGTGATTGAATCTTAATGGTCGGATGCATTAATGTGCTGAAAATATATCAACTATCACATTAACTGGCTGGAGATAAACCACAGTGCACATAGGGCAACAAATCTCTAAATTCCTGGTTACATGAAATAGATGGAAAGCATTTTGACGCCTATAAACATACTGAGTACCTCTGTATTCCTCGTCCAGGTGAGGTGAAGCAGGAAGGGGGTGGTCTTTTCCGTGAGGGTACACCTTACCAGCGCCGTGGCTCTTTGCAGCTCTGGCAGTTCCTGGTGGCCCTTCTGGATGACCCAGGCAATGCCCACTTCATCGCCTGGACAGGCCGCGGCATGGAATTCAAACTAATTGAACCAGAAGAGGTAAGTCTGAACTGTAAACGACCTTTTTTTTTCTTCAATCAAAGATGGTGGGGAAGCGTTGTCTGTAGGCACTATAATCGACCAGGCTAGCCATCATGATGTCACCCACTGGTCTTACTATTTTAACCCGATTTGATAACAGAGGATGAATCAGACTGTGAAACCACACACTCATTGGCTAATGATTTGTAACTGAAACGGTATTATCTACTCTGGTTAGAGTCTGAATGATCATCCTTTCTAACTATTAGAATGACCATAAATTGCAAACAAAATTAAGGGGCTTCCACACCGAAAGCGATTCTCTCATTTCCCGTTTTTCTTGTTTTGTACTTGACAGTTGATTATAACCAGCAGACAGGATGTGGCTGCTTAGAAAAGTGTAGTGTAGTGTAGTTCCCACATCACATGTCTATTACCAGTGTCCTTCACCATCACTGGTAGTCACATGAATTTAAACTAACGACTAAGCCCATAAAATCATCAGGAAAGAGTTCGCTGGCATCCCAGTAAAAGTGAGTCAATGGTTGTTTCCAAGACTTCAATACAAAATGAAATTCTTTGAAACAAGAAGAGCCGCCCCCTGCTGGCCATTACAAAGAACAAAGGTTTAACCCTTTAAAATCGATCGGAGCAGGCACGCTCTGTTTTGCGTAACTATTTTTAAATCCTGGTAGCTCTGCAACCACGTAAGCTAGCGCAAAAAAATTTTTTGCATATGAAACCGGAGGAGTTGTACTTACATCTTATGCCATCAGCCTGCCCTAAGTCACAGTTTCCTTCCACATATAGCTTTGCAAAAACTGCATAAAAAGCGCTTGCAGGAACAAAAACATAATATTCAGAAACACGCTTTGCTGATCCGATCAGCTGTTTGTAACACTTCCTATGTTGGAATAGACGTCAGCGCGAACTTTCACATGTCTGCCATGACCTGCCCGAAACCGGAAGTGGCGTCATTTTCGCGGAAATGTAGTTTTTTACCATCAGGGCCTCATGAGCCTATACTGGTGTTTTTGAAAGTTATCTTTGACTTTATGACTTTCTGTGTCGTTTCTGGGATGCTTAGGACACATATTGCACTGCTGAAAATAGTTTATTTTGATGCAGATGCTGTTTTTTTGCAAATTTTCACTATAATATTTATTTTCGTTTTTCCTGCAGTGTATAGAAATTGGTGTATTTCAAAAATAAAACTATGAAGACACTCAAAATAAATTTCCTGTGGTGGGAAACTATTTTGTGCAACTTTTTTGTATTTACAGTTTTGAGGGATAAGCCTCTTAAATTTCTCTAACTAGAAATATATGTTAAAAAAACAAAAACGATTTTCAATTTTTTGGTAGTTTACTGCACTTTTTTGCAATTTATGTAATTACTATGCACTTAATGCAGACATATTATTAAAATTTAGGCTGTAATGGTTATATTGATGTATAGCAACTTGAAATGCTCCCAAAAATGGCACTACAGCATGTAAAAATATAATATAAGCTCTGGCGGACTTGGTTCTATGGTAGGTCTTAAAGGGTTAAGGCACAGCGATGCTTGCTAAACTTTTTAAGGTCCAGTAGTCATGTCCATCTTTTACACTTTTGTTTACAGAAGTACAGGGGCAACCCTTCAGAAGCTCATTCGATCAGTGCTGCAGGTCTCTTCCTGTTAAACAGGAGTTCTTCCTTCCCACAGTCACCTAGTACTTGTTCAGAGGGGACTGTCTGATTCCTGGGATTCTCTCTCAAATGTTGTAGGGTCTTTACCTTAAAGCACCCTGAGGCAGAAGGTGTTGCGCAGCACTACATAAACTAGATTTAATGCATCTTTGAAAATGGCCATACACAGATGCAGAGGCTGTCTAGCTCTTAAGAGAGACATCTTTATGTTTCAGTTTGCTAAGTTCCTTAGACTTTAATATGCAGTGAGTGTCAGACATATGTGATCTCACATCTCACTTTGTTGGGTAACTTTAAAAGAAGTTCTAGTTTAACTGGAGCTTTCTCTGCAGTAACAATATCACTTTAAATGTTTGAAAAAAAGACTACTGCGATATAAAATGCATTATTTTTAACACATTACTGTGTGGCCTTGTCCACTGATAGTACTGGTAGTGATTGTGACATTAATATGATAAGGATACTCTTTAAATAAATTTAGTGAGGGTTTGCTGTAATCTAGGTAGCACCTTCAATGAGAAGGGGGATTTGGCCACTTTCCTCATAGGCCTATTTTCTGATCCATCTTCCATTAGGCCCCCATACATTATTCAACACGCACTGGATTGATAAATGAAGGACAAGCACTATCACAGAAACATCCAACACCCCTGTTCTCTCTCACCTCCTCACATTTCTTAAGTCCAGACATTTTTGCAATGTTTAAGTCTGCAGTTTGATTGGATATCAGAGCGCCTCCATTTAGGTGGGCCCTAATACAGACAGGCCTATATTGTGTTTTCCATTATCTTTTTATTGTACATTAAAAATGAATGGGGTAAGAGTTTTACAAGCGCAATTAGAGCTGAGAGCGCACTCAGAGATCAAACGGGGCTGCTGGGCCACTGTGGGATACAACCTGTCTTCCTGAGTCATGAATATCAATGCCCCCCCCCCATCCCAAGCTTTACGGTTTCTTCCTACATCCAAGGTGTTTGTCAACAGAAAATTTATCCACTGTTGCACAATTCCTTGATTTATTTCCCCTTGTGTATGTATGTGTGTGTGTGTGTGTGTGTGGTGGTGGTGGTGGTGGTGGTGGGGGGGTGTTAATGTGAGGCATTCATTTTCTATAAGAGGCAGAGCTGCTTTATCAGCCCAGGGTTCAAATTTTGGGCTGCCCCTGACAACCCGCCCTGACTCCTGTTTCACTGCAAACACTGTGGGACTCTGGTTGCATTCAAGTGGTAATGGTTACATAAAAAGGAAGTGAATCCACATGTGAGGACTCGCCCTGGTCTTGGCATGTTGATACTGTCGAATTTAATAGCAGAATGAAGTTTGGCTTGCTACTGAGGCCCTCTAGTGGGCAACCTGTGGAATTAACTACCTGTGTCCAACTATTAGCGCAAAAAGACTCGATCTTCTTGAAATGTAATTTGAGGAAGGTTATGTTTTACACTATTTAAAAGCATGCAAACACATTTTTAACTGATTTATTTCTTCTTTCTCAGGTTGCCAGGCTGTGGGGAATGCAGAAGAACCGTCCAGCCATGAACTATGACAAGCTCAGCCGTTCTCTGCGCTACTACTACGAGAAGGGAATCATGCAAAAGGTACAAAACGCAGCCAGCACTAAATCTACTGGGAACCAAAGTAATCCCACATAGGTTTTCAGTACAGCGCCTCCAGTTGTCAGAGGGCAGTCAAAGATGCACAAAAGTGCCCTTAATGTCAGTGCCTGATGCATTGGCAAGTTATTAAAAAAATAGACCTCTTGCAACTTGTCACGTATGAATGTTTGCAAAGGAACCCCTGGATTTATGTCTAAGTACACTAAATACACTGATTTGCTTTGTTTTCACTCAGTAAAAGGCTGGAGAGGTGCTGATTTTGAGATTTGCCCTTTGTCTAAATATCACCACACACTGGATGCTCCATAAAAACAGGAACATAAACTCTCACACCAAATATTCCGAAAAGGCATCTTGTGCATTTGTCTGTGACAACTTAAGACAAAAAGTTAGTATCTGACGCCCTGGAATAGGAATATACTCGTGCACTCGTCTTGCTGGATAGCTAAAGAAAAGGAAACAGTTTGGTGTTCTCGTTCAAAGTGGATATAACACATTTCCAGCACTTTTATATTTATATACATCTCCCAATTTTCTCTTATACTGAGTGCTTAGTCTCTGCAGCCCTCAGAGGCTACAGAAACTGTGAAATATTAGTTTACAAATGCATTCGTATTTCATTTTAAATAATCCTCCCCTCTCTCTCTCTCTCTCTCTCTCTCTCTAGGTGGCTGGGGAGCGCTACGTTTACAAGTTCGTTTGTGAGCCCGAGGCTCTAATCTCCCTGGCCTTCCCCGACAATCAGCGACCCAGCCTGAAGGCTGAGTTCGAGCGCTACGTCAACGAGGAGGACACAGTGCCTCTGTCGCACCTGGACGAGGGGGTGCCTTACACCCCGGAACAAGCCCCTCAAAACATGGGCCCTCAGCCCTACTCCAAAGGCTACATGTACTAAAGCCAGCCCCAACACGCCCTCCTTTCTACCCCACCTTCAGAGATGTTCCCATTGTACCAACCCACCATCATACATGCCCCACAAAACCCCATGCACCTCTTGCACATGCCCACCCCATCCTCTTGTATATAAGGATATGGTGTTTTTATTTTAAATTAATCGCATTAGGGATTTTTTTTGGTTTTGTTTTATTTTTAAGAGCTGTATTCCTCTCACATTCGAGGCTTATTCAATCCATAAACCTGACTGTGGTTGAAGAGATTGCTTAATAAATACTCATAATAATATTCAAACTGAAGTCCTGAGAATTCTTTAACACAGCTGAAAGCAATGTTACTGAATAGTGATGAGAATTTTAATCAAGTGTTTCTTAATTCAAATTAGACTGACCCGTTGTAGCCAGGTACTATTCGTCATTCAGGAGGGCAGTTTAAGGGATAGTTGTAAGGGTGGAGCTGCACCATCTGCTGCTAAAACTGGTTATGGTACCAACCAAGGTATGGCCGCATACCTTTGAGCTTTAAAAGATGATATTTTAGCATAACTGAAACATTCTGGTTCATAGTGGGGAGGATAACATTTGTGAGGTGGTGAAACGTTTTCGTTTGGAGACAGCAACACAAAACCACAAAGATGAGGGGAAAAAAAACAAACTGCAAAAGCTACCTGTTACAAGTTCAGTTGTAAAATGTCAACAGCTTTCTGGCTAAATGCATCATTTGGAGTTAACTAGCACTAAAACGATGCAAAGTCTCTACAGACACACTTTAAAACCCAAAGAGCTTTTAACTGGAGGTAGCAATAACGATTGCTACCTCCATTGTGTGCCTTGAAATTCTGGCTTGCCCTTCGATGTGCCTCAGGCAGGACGTTTGAAAACCACTGCAGAGAACAAAAGAAGTCGATTACAGGTGTTAGGCACCAAATTCAAGAAGGCACACTAAATCATTGCTTACTAATATAATAAATGCCATTTGAACGTGATAATTCATCTGACTCCATAATGTTATCTTAAAGTGACTATATATACACTATTTAATACATACTATTTATGGCCAGCTGTATAGCGTAGTGGCAAGACTACACACCTTTGGAGTGGAGGATCACAAGTTCGGATTCCTTTCTGGGGGCATCTGTATCCATAAAATAAGTAAGGGTCGGTGAAACAACAAGTAGCTCACTGTTCCAACATGGTATGGCGAGGGGGAGCCAGGATGACAGGTCAGGGGGGAGATATCATCACCCTGAACTAAGATTGATTGATTGAATCAAATAGCTTGATTTAACTTTAAGTAAATTACTTCTAAAAAGTACTGGTAGGGTTGTGGACTTTGTCTAGCATACCGAGTCATGTCTGGGTCCATATCTCTGCAGCACACCATGGGTCATGTACTTGATTGATACACACAAAACTGATAAATTAACCAACTTGAAATTAGGGTTGCTAATAGATGCTAAGGCTAACAAAAAAAAGCAACTACTTTGAAGTGGATAAATAGCCCTAGAGAGAAAAAGTTCCAAGTAAGATCATATACAGTTGTGGTCAGAAGTTTACATCCACTCATCAAGGCACTGAATGGTAGTAATTTCTTTCAACTGTTTTCAGTGTGGAATAACCGTATAGATTACACAGACCCAACAAGAACTGGGTTCCTAAGTTTTAATTTATTTTGGGTTTACTCCAGTCCTCACCAGATCAAAATCATACATGCAAGATGAATTTTATACAAACACTCACTGAAATCTTTTGTTTAAAGTGGTGCTGAAGGGATTACAATGTCTTTTAACTTGACAAGGCCATTAAGTTGTCTTAAGTGATCATGATTGGCTACAACTGGTAGTTTTTCTTTGCTAGCATAAACTGACTGCACTCATTGGATTGACCAATACTCCGAACAATAGGAAAGACCAAGGAACTCAGAGAAGATCTTTAGGTATTCTTCTAACCTTGGCAAACTATCACCCTCGGAGACGAGAGGAAATTACTTGGGACATTCAGGAACAACCCAGGAATCAACCCAGGCCTGCTATGAACTGGAAACTGCAGAACACCAGTGTCACTGTCCAGTGAAGTGAGTTTTACATCACCATGGACAAAGAAAGAAGCCACTTTTTCAAAATTAGCACCTTTAAGCTCAGCTGAAATTTTCAGCTGCCTACATGGACAAGACAAATGTGTTTTGGAGTAAAGTTTTATGGTCAGTTGAGGCAAAGACTATTTCGCCACAATGACAAGAGGTATGTGAGGCTTTCAAACTTAAGAGCACCGTCAAGCACGGTGATGGCAGCATCATGCTCTGAGGCTGTTCTCATGCCATTGGTACTGTTACATTGCACAAAGTGGATGAAATAATGGAGGTGGACTACCTCCAAATTCTTCAACATAACCACAAATCGCTCGATGGTTGAAAACTGGGTGTCCTAACAGGACAATGACCCCAAATATACATCAAAACTAGTTTGGGAATGGACAAAGCAGGCTAACATTAAGCTTCTGGAATGGCCTTTCAAAAGCCCCGACCTCAGCCCTACTGAAAATTTGTCGACTGCGCTTAAAAGCCAGGTTCACGCCAGGAAACTAACCAGTTTAAATAAACTGTGTTAAGAAAAGTCATTAAATATCGACAAAATTATGCCAAAAGCTTGTTGATAGTCAACAAAAGTATCTGGTCAAGGTGCAACTTGACATTTCACCAGATATGAAATGTCAAGGGGGATATGTATACTTTTGACCCTGTGTTTCTTAGAGAAAATCAAAAATAAATTCACATGCAACTAATTCTTGTTGCTTTAAAGTCACTAAAGATGCATGCTATACAGTCGTTCCACTTTCCATTTTTCTCACCAGGCATTGTGACACTGTGTTGGCAGTGATCTTCCAGTGAGTCTGAACATGTGTAAATTTCCAGCTAGATCCATAGAACAGTCTTCATTTTGTTTAATTAAGATGAATTGCCAAGATAATAAACTTCCCAACAAGATCATTGTGTATTAAAGTATGAGTCAGAGGTAGTGAGCAGGGCTGGAAGGAACTTGTAAAACCTCAGAGACCCCTCAGGCTGCTGAAGACAAGAGTGCATTACGCCTCTGTGTGCCAGTGGAAAGTCAGAGGAAGCCCTGATAATCATCTCCAGCTCTGAGGTCACAATGGAATAGGCCTGGCGTAGAAGAGAAATTAGAGTTTGATTTCTTTAAATTTCAAATCTCAAACAAGAGATTGGTGGTGTTGCATTTTAATTAAGTTTCCGGCTGGAAGTAGGTTTCTTTCAAGGATGCTTGAGAATTATTGCAAGAGAAAGACACTGCAAAGGTTACACAAATTTTGGAAATGTTCATATGTGGGCATTTTGAAGATTTAAAAAAATCCATCTGGTTTTTGTTGATTCCTACCAGTTACATTTCTCACCTTGCTTAGTCAAGAGGAACACATGGAAGGTACTTAAAACTGGTCCTCAATCGAGGTTTGCCACTTAAATTTGAGCTATTTTTCTAGCATTTGTGAGCTCTCGAGACTATAAATATGGGAGATATCCACAGGGGCTGAAAAAGCATACGTTCTGTTAGAAATTAAAATCAAATCAGTCTGTGTCACAATCTAAAGCCAAACTCACAGCACAATTTTTCTATAAGCAATTTTGAGCATCAGTGCAGAGTGAGGAAAAACAAGCTACCCTGGATGTTTTTCTTTTTTTGCAACTCAGTGCAGAAAACCTTCTAAGTGCATTTTGGGTAAACCTTCAGAGAGTTGTCTTGTGTGATGTGTGAAACGTCTGTGTGACTATCTCCTGTACTTATGAAGTTATGTGAAAATGCTGGAAAAAGCAAATAAGGCAAAACTAGAAAGTACCACAACTCCTAAATATTCAGAGTATGAATTTTGCATGGTATCATTAAATATGGTTAAATATGGTAAAGTTATTGTACGATAATTGTAAATAATTTCTTTCTGAGGGAGTCAAGAGGGAATTCTTTTAGATTTGGTAGATTTCATATGAAGTGACCCTTAAAGTTTCCATATGTAGGAAATAACACATAACAGAACTGGAAAATGTCAGTAAGTAAGAAGTACATAGTGTTCACATGGATAATATCAGACAGTATACCTTGAAAACTGTGAATGACGTCTGCTGACCATTAGTCTGACCCTCAGGAATGGTGAGTACCATTTAACCACCTCCATCCGTTTCATCATCTGCAGTTTGAAAGCATAGAGTAAAAATGTATCCTGCAGTCCAACTTCAATTTAATTTTTTTGCTGTTTTTTTTATTCACACTCCTGACTCACTAAAATATGGAAGCTTTTTTTTTTAAGGAAATACACTGACAATCAAAACAAAAGGCCGACAACACACCCAATGAGACTTTTCTTATGCCAAGGCCATTATATTTAAGTATAAGTAACCAATAAAGCTATACTAAAAACGAACTTAAAAAAAAACATTTTAAAAAAGTAATAAAACAACAGCAGCAAATGGATAAAAAATAATAATAATTTAAGGAGTACTTACTATAAAGACGGCTCAATTTTCTGTCAGAAATGCTTTAAAGTCTTCAAATGTTGGGATTCTCGGTAAGACTGATCACAGATTCTGCTCCAACACAGCAACTTATGCTCAGCAGTTCATCCTAACTTTACACTCCTAGGACGAACTTTATCACACATCTTTACAATTAAGCAATGTCAAGATAACTAATTATGTCTTTATGAGTAATGTTGTCATCAAGATTCTCCAGCTCTGTGCACACCAAACACAAACGTGCAAGTTGTTACACGTCAAACGCCATTTCGCTTCTCGTGATTGAAGCTAAATGTTTCAGCACTGCTGCCCCCTGTTGGGCAACTCTACATAGCTCAAGGTTAATATGCATTAAGCGTGGGGTTTAAAAAATTTTTTTGGCTTATGCGCTTATACTCACCTAGCCTTCACGTTTTATTTTTAACTCATTAATAACCCAATACTATACATATATATATTGATAATCCCATTATTAAAAATATATTGTAAGTGGCCTGTGGAATAATTCTGGTAATGAAAACCTCTGGTTACATTTAGTGTGTCTCTTTGTAAACATCCTAAAGTTTTAAATCTTGAGTTTCCATCTTCATATAAGACTTTTCATATATTTTCTTAGGTGTCCTTAGGTTACCTGTTAGCTTGTTACCACCGCTGATTCTTAATCCCTAGCATATCCACCCTTAACATCAAAGTTATCAAATTGATCTTTTTCATGCATTTTTAAACATCCTCATTCAAATTTCTGTAATTGTTTTTCTTCTATTAACTTCTTTGGCTCATTTTTATTCTCCTCTTTGTGCCTAGCTACAATACCACAATTTCCCCCTCAGGAAAATTTCCAGTGTACCATTCTCTACCTTCGTAAGAAGAGCTTACGAGTCAGCGGTGTTACTGATGGTTGTGAAGAGAAAGCTGAGCTAGAAGTTAAAGCTTTTAATTTACCAACTGATCAGGAAGAGTAACTTGGACATGCAGAGGAAGCTCAGAGCAGCCACCCCACCTTCCCATCCAAAACAAATCAGCTAAGGTGGTTTGGGCATCTGATGAGGACCTCTCCTGGATGACTCCCATTGGATGTTTTTCTGGCACACCTAACCCAGAGATCTGTCTGGCATTCAGCATCCCTCAGGAGGAAGGGAAAAAGCTCTGACTCGACTTCAGATAGCTGGATAAAAATGGATGGATGACAACAAAATCTCAACAGGCTTAGGAAAATTCAGTATTTAATGAGAACACGTTTTCATAGTTTCACTGTAATTCTTTGATACACCGACAAGTGAAAGTCTCAATTCCTGTACAAAATACATCAAACAAATGTTTTTCCATCCTTTTACTCTGACATCAGTCGATTAGTTAAAATATAAAAGCCCATTATGATTTCCTTTAGGTCATTACTTAAGACTTAACATTGCAGTACAATATTACTGTTACAATTTAGAGAATAGAAATAAATATAAATTGTTTTGCAAAATCTGCAAACAGAACATTAAAATCGCCAATTTTTCCTGCTAGTCTTAAACAAAGGAAATTCCTCTGGTGTTTCTAAAACAACTGACACCAAGATTCCCATCCCATCTCAATTTTTTTTTAAAACAAAACAACAACAAAAAGTCAAGACGAATACAGAAATGTGATCAGTAAGTTTTGGTGGAAAATGTACACTGTTTACAAAACTGAAAGGAGGACTGACTGCAGCGTCAAATCAAACTGTGACGCAAACCCTTCATCCTGCAGGGTTTTCCCAGTGCTGGTACGAGACCACACGTCCGACTTTGCCACTACTGTCCAAGTACCCGAGTTGCGCGTTTGTGATGTCACACACATTATCGGCGTCTGAAGGCGCGTGAGATTCTCCAAGCGTTGGGCTCTTCGTAACGGTTGTACAGGGGCTCGAGGCGCTGCTGTTTCTTCTGCTTGCTGAGGCGGGTGGGGTCGGACACTTTAAAGAAGGCAGGTGCGAACTCCACCAGCCAGCGAGGGTCGATGGTGGTCACCTCACGCATGTACTCCTTTGTAGTCAGCACCAGCTCGTGGTACACAACCCTGTCGACAAAGAATTTGAGAAATCAGACAGTGCCCAACTTGCAAGAAAGATTTACTTCCTCTTTCGCTGTGGCACAGTAAAACTGAAATGCTGACATACCACTCAGGCTGCCGGTTGAACAGAGCACTGGAGGGGTGGATGTAAACAACTTGCTGGTCTATCAGGGTTCTGTAGCCCTCCTGAGGATCTTTTTTGGCCGCATTCCTGAAGAAACCACTGCAGATGGCTTTCTGGACTCGCACAGTAGCTTTACCACAAGATACTACATCCAGTTTATGTCTAGAGAGAAAAGAACATGTTAAATCTTTCTAAGCAATATAATTTCTTGCGCTACCGTTAACATTTAAAGTGATTTTTGATTTTTAGTATTTAACATTTTGGCCCTAATGTACCTGTCCATGATCCCCAGCATCTGTTTGCGGATATCCTGGGCTCTGCGCAGGGAGCGAGCCTGGATGAAGTTCTCGTAGCACCAGGGGTTGGAGAACTTGTTGTTCTTCCAGGAGTTGTAGACAGCTAGCAGGGTGAGGTGATCGCCCTCAGGTTGGTGGAACTTTGCCTTCTTCTGGTCAGCCAAGGCCTGCTTGTCCTTTAACACAAAAAATGGGGGGGGGGGTAATCATTGAATTCAGAATACATTTCAAAATCTTTTACTATAAAAATGTTAAAAACATCACAAACACTCAGCTGCAGCTCTCATAGCCACTTTCAACATTTGTAAAGTTTTTATGAAACTTTGCATTTTCAAGTTTAAATGTTTCTAAAAACATCTGAAGTAAATAAGTCCTGAAGTTGCTAAAGATTTCCCAGAAGTGTTCATTTCCACTGGACATCCACTAATCTGTATAAAGTGGCCTTGATCTCAACTTAATGCAGTTAAACCGTAGTGGATTCAATGCTCCATTGATTCAAAGGAAGCGCTACCACAACACATTGCATGACTGCTTACACAGATAAGGAATGAGATGTGTAGAAATGACTGGACGGTGTTCAAAGCATACCTTAGGCCTGTAAAAGACATTCTGCACAGACAGCATCGACACGATTGTGAGCATCTCTTCGCTGCAGCCCAGATGGACGGACATGATCAGCATCTTACACAACATGGGCTCCAGAGGGAACTCAGCCATCTAGCAGACACAAACGCACAGGAGATTAAAAGTCTTATCAGAATAACAGAAAGACAAGAAGTTAAAGAAAATACAGCTACATAAATCTGATTACATGTAGATTTATCTGCTCTTCTTTGCAGCAAAGAGAAACCATTGGGTAAAAACATCCTTACCCTTCGACCCAGTCGTGTGAGTAAGCCTTCATCGTCCAGAGCTCCTAAGGTGTAGAGCTGCTCCATGGCTGTGATCAGAGTCTCCATAGGAGGAGCGTCCATGAAGTCAAAAGACAGCAGATCATTGATGCCCATTGCCTGGAGGAGTAAATATTAATATGAACGTTAGTGATCTGAAATGTTAAAGCAGAGGTCTAGTTTACTTCTCCTGTCTGTTAGTTGTTTTGTTTGTTTGTTTTTTAACTCATTTAATTTCTTCTTCTCAATAACGCAGGATGTCATCCTATGCATGATAAGAACTGAAGGACAACAGCTCCTACCTTCAGCGACAGCACAGTGCTGGCCAAGTTGGTTCTCTGGATTTCAGGTACATTGGTTGTCAGCATCTCATCTCTGTAGGCTCTCTCAGTGTACAGCCTGTAACACTTTCCAGGGCCTGTTCTGCCGGCACGACCTGCCCTCTGCTTAGCCTGAGCCTGGAGCAAATACAATAAAGAGTTTTATGTCACACTAAATCATTTTGAAACACTAATGCCTTCAGCGAGGCTCTAAGACCTCCTTTGCTACAACATCAAGTACATCACAAAACCGCTGTACCTGTGAGATTGGCGTCACCACCAGCTGATCAATGCCAGTCTTAGAGTTGTACACTTTCTGCTTGACAAAGCCTGGATCTACAACATAATAGATTCCATCGATGGTCAGAGAGGTCTCTGCAATGTTTGTGGCGATGACAACCTGAGAGAAAGAACAAAGGACGTTATATATTTGCTCTGAAGCAACAAAATATCCGGAATTGACTTTACCCATGTCAATATAAGGCCACAAAAATACTAAACACACTGACTAAATCACTGAAACATATTAAATGAACCAAACTTTTAGTTCTACAGACAAATGAAAAGGGACAGACAGTTACACAAATTGTAATCTTTGAACAAAACGAATGTTATATGTTTCTATAGATTTACTGAAAGTACCTTTCTGCTGCCTGGGGGTGCTGGGTCAAAGATTCTGGTCTGCATCTCACTGGGCAGGGCAGAATAAACTGGCAGAATGATCAGCTCAGGAACATCAGGCCCAAGAGACTTCATTCGCTCATAAAGGATCTCACAGGCTGTGTCGATCTCCTCCTGTCCAGTTAAAAACACCAGGATGTCTCCTGCAAAGGAAGAGTCACAGTAAGATGGATGACATGGACTGATACTAGAGTCCAAAGGTGGAAAGAACATCCATTTTTCATGACTTAAAGAGAAAAAAAAACATACCTGGAGGCTCAGTCAGATGAATCTGCATGACAGTGATGAGGCTGGCATCCAGGTAGTCCGTCTCAGGTTCTTTGGTGTAAAGAACCTCTACTGGATACGTTCTGCCGGGGATGGTGAAGATGGGTGCTTCATAGAAATACTGAGAGAACTTCACAGCATCCAGTGTAGCTGATGTCACAATAAGCTTCATGTCTGTGCGCTTCTGTACAGTCTGACAAACACAAGAAGAAACACTCAGAATCCCTTTTGTCTCTGATTCTCCATTAAGTCATAGATTAAATGTAGGAAACCTTTGCTTACCTTCTTGAGGAGGCCAAAAAGAACATCAGTGTGGATTGTCCTCTCATGAGCTTCATCTAACATGATAATGGCGTACTGACCCAACTCTGAGTCAATCAAACACTCTCTCAATAACATACCGTCTGTCATGTACTTGATTACAGTCTCAGGACTTGTGCAATCCTCAAAACGGATGGTGTAGCCCACCTGGAAAACACAAAAAGATAAGTCCCAATGAGATTAAGCAAAGCTGCAGTGTGCAAAAGGTGCTCAGTAATTATATACTGTAACACGATTGCACTTTACTCAAGATCAGAAATATTTAACTAACCTCTTGTCCCAGACAACAACCGTACTCCTCAGAGACTCTCTTAGCCACTGACATGGCAGCCACACGACGGG